TTACTTACCTGAGAAAGACTGAGATTTCTTTAATGATAAGATTAATCTGGTTGTGCACCTTTGTGTCTCTAATGCTAATATCAAATAGCTTACATGGCTGGCAATCAATAAATATTTTTAAAATAAATGAATGTCAAAATGATGCAGTTCTGTATGTCACAGATGATTGTTTATGTGGCATAAATTGAAAAATATGGATTTTGGAGTCAGACTTTCCTGGAATAAAGAGCTACTTCTATATTTAGAAGAGCTTTGTGAAATAACCTTGAGCAAATTGCTTAACCACTCCAAGTCTCACATCAGATTGTTATAAGAAATGATAATAATACTAATTAAAAAATTGTTATGAATAGTATCAATGATACTATTCATAATGGACTTCTTATTATTAAATATAGTTCTCATTTGTTGCAGCCTACCATGCAGCACAAAGATGCTAAAGATTTTCAGCTATAATTCTTATTTAGTCCTCCAAGCCAGTCTGGTAAATTGATGGCAACTCCATAAAGATTAAACAACAAATTTAGACTCAGAAATTATTTAGTCTATCGTGAAAGATTAGTCAGGATAGATTACAAACCACTTCTAATACTTCAGAGTATTAACAGATAAAGTTTTTTTTCTGATACATACAAAGTATGTTGTGAGTCTGACTATTCTCCTAAGTACCCTCAGTCCAATTTTTATTCTGAAATCCAAGTCTGCTATGTCTTGCATCTTGGCCATCTTAAACATATGGTTCTAGTTCACTGTAGCAAGTAATGAATGGCCTGGGTGTTGTACTTTGGCTTTTAAGTACAAAAGTCAGCTGACAACACACACACATATAAATGTATACATGTAGAATATGTATTTTATAACACACAAAATATGCATTTTATAACCCACATATATAAACCTTATATATTTATATATATATAAATATATATAATTTATATAAATATATATATATAATTTTACATCTACAAACACCCATGTTTCTTATAAAGTAACATTCACACCTCCAGGGATTAGGGATGAACATATCTTTTGGGAGGTCACAATTCAGTACACTATAGTTTTATTAAGATAAATTGGTAAAATTACAATTAATAGTTCAGGGTATGTAAAATTTAAAGACTTTTAGATAAATGTTTCAAGATTGTGTTCCAAAATAATTTTGAATTGAATTTTGGATGCTCTTAAACATATCCTTGTTATGTAGTGTATATGCATACACAGTGCAAAAACACATGTGAAACCCTATAACAATAAAAACAAGAGAAGGTTGGAGGTTGGGTAGAAAAGAGAAAAAGATTGGCAAGGACTTTTCAGAGTGGTCCTCCTTGATCATCTAAATATTGTTCACAGGTATGTCAATAAAATGTACCTGTTAGTCCAGGTTTAAAAATGTAACTGAACTTACCTGGTTTTGACTGACTGATTGATTTCTGTTTTATTTCTATCTAAATATAAGTTTTTTTCAAATGTATAAATTTTAATGTAAAATAATTGATCTTTGATTTGAGCAGTTATCTTTTTCATTAAAACAAAAACATTTTTCTGTTTTCTTCATTTTTCACATGATCTTTACAATGTAGAGTATAAAGTGGAAGCTGTTAGAATCATTTCATGAATAATTTAGATCTATCTTTCTATCTATTTCTGTTGAGTGATGGAAACCATCAATATTGGATATTTTTGTTTCCTAAACATAGTTGAAAAGTTCACCAAAAAGGAAATGCATCTTGGAATAAAAGTCATTTTCAAGAGCATTCTGGTAATAAATTATGTGGAATTGTATTTTTAATACTTTCTCATCAGCAGCAATGATTCACCAGCTCTTTGACAGAGGGTGAATTTTCATAGCAACTTACATAATTTACATATTAAGTTTAGTGTGAGTCTTACAAAATCAGAGGCCATGCACTTATTACAGGGATGTGATCTGTATAATAAAACATCTATAGTTTTATTAAGATAAATTAGTAAAATTGATGTTTGGGTTTCTCTTTTAAGACTATAACTTCTTTTAACTGATGGTTTAAGATTCTCAAAAATAAAGATCTTGTGTCCAGGGCTGGGAATGTGGCTCAGGCAGTAGTGTGCTTGCCTGGCATGCCTGAGGCAATGAGTTTGATCCTCAGCACCACATAAAAATAAAATAAAGATGCTGTGTCCACCAAAAACTAAAAAATAAATATTAAAAAAGATATTGTGTCCATATGTAACTAAAAATATTTTTTAAAAATAAATAAATCAGTTTTGTTTATTTGATAAATCTATATGTCTCATTCCGAGGACCCATTGTTCTTGGCTCCAAGTAACTTCTGTTTGGCTCCAAAAATCAAATCTGTCTTCCTGGAAAAATTTTACCATTAAAGGAAGACAATCAAAAGAATATTTTGTAATAATTATTTAAGCAACATCATCATCATCAGGTTAAATATATAGCTTCCTAGGGAACAGAGAGAGAGAGAGAGAGAGAGAGAGAGAGAGAGAGAGAGAGAGAGAGAGAGAATATGCAAGCATGCACATGTGCTCAGATATGAGTATTTGTACCATGTTCTCATTAATATCCTGACATATTACTACAGAAATAACACGATAGGGTCATAGGATAACAGATTTTATGAAGAAAATGGTGCACTTGAGATTTTCAAGTGAAAACTCCTAATTTTACAAATAAGGAAAGGAGAGATTTAGGCAAACAAAGTAAGTTGCAGAAGGCTAGCCACATCCTTAATTGATGATGGGTATGGTGGTACACACCTGCAATCCCAATACCTCGGGAGGCTGAGGCAGGAGAATCACAAGTTTGAGGCCAGCTTCAGAAACTTTGTGAGACCCTGTCTCAAAATAAAACAGCTGGGGGTGTGCAATGTTTAAGTGCCCCTGGGTTCAATCCCCTCTACTCCAAAAATACAAAAACAAAAGCAACCCTACTATATGGCATAACTGAAGTTGGGAATTAGCTAGCAACGTTCAACCTGCAGATGTGCCTATATGGCTTGGAAATTTTTAAATATGATTTTAAACACCTTTTGGTGAGGATAATAATTCTTCACTTTAATGGGTTTTTGTCATGCATGAAACATGCAGCCTTAAGTAAGGTTTCCAGATGTAACAAATCAAAATTTGAATTTCAGACACTCAGCACTTTAAGAGTTGTATATAAGTATATCCCAAACATTTTAAGGGATGTACTCATGCTAAAAATATTCATCTTTTATCTGAAATTCAAATTTAACTGCGTGTCTTATATTTTATCTTGCAAACCTAGTTCAGAGCAAATAAGGCATTTTGAATTCAACCTATCCACTAGGTGTGGCAAGAAGATTTACTGTTTACAAAAGAATCTATATTCCCCCACATCTTGTACCTTCCATGAAATTGGGCAGGACCATATGACTAGTTTGGGCCAGTGTGCTATAATTTTATGTATTATAGCAAAATAATATTAATAACGTTAAGTAATATATTAAAAATATGTAAAATGGAAAGAAGCATGCAAATCATACTACAAAATATAATTCCATATGTTGGGGGTTAATATTAATATATATATATAGATATATAGATATGTAGATATATTTTCTACAACTTAACAACAATGGTGCAGATGCCATGAAAACAGCATGGCAGTTCTTCAAACAACTAAAAATAGAACTACTATATAACCCAGCAATCCCATGTATGGGGATGTATCTAAAAGAATTGAAAAGTAGATCATCAAGAGATATTTGCACACCTATATGTTCACTGCAACATCATTCACAATAGTCAAGAGGTGGAAGCAACCTATCATCCATTGACAGATGAACGGATAAATGAAATTGAATATGATTCAGCCTTAAAAAGGAAATTCTGACACATGCTACAACCTGGACGAACCTGAAGGAAATAATGCAAAATGAAATAAACAAATTTTTTAAAAGACAAATAATTTATTGATTCTATTAACATGAGTTATCTAAAGTAGTCAAATTCATAGAAACAGAAAATAAAATGATGGCTGCCAGAGTCTAAGGGAAAGGAAAAATGGGACATTGTTCTTAGTAGGTTTAGAGCATAAGTTTTTCAAGATACAAAGTTCTGGACATCTGTTACATAGCAGATAAAGTGAACGCTATTGAATTGCATATCTAAAATGGTTTTTTAAAACTTTTAACAAAAGTGTGTATTTTAAGTATGTTTCATTTTTTGTCAATTAACCTCAATAAAGCTATTTATATGGACATATATGAGTTTAAGAAGTGATAAAGAGGCTGGGTGCAATGGCACACATCTGTAATCCCAGTGACTTGGGAGACTGAAACAGAAGAATTGCAAGTGTGAGGCTAGCCTAAGCAAGTTAGTGAGACCCTGTCTCAAAATAAAAAATAAAAAAAACTTGAGATGTAGCTCAGTGGCAGAGCATTCAATACCCAGTTCTCTCTCTCTCTCTCTCTCTCTCTCTCTCTCTCTCTCTCTC